AAGGAGGGAGGGAGGAGGAAGGGGAAGGAAGGAAAGAAAGAAAGAAGGAAGGAAGGAAGGAAGAGAAAGAAGGAAAGAAAGAAAAGAGGAAAGAAAAAGAAAGGAAATTTGTTCTCCAGCAAATGACGTTCGTGGCCTTGAATCTGGAGATGACGTACGTCTGTCATGACTAATATAATCCAGGGAAAACATACACTTTCTATATTTGCCTGCTTCACTTTCTGAGCTAATGGCTGTCAGCTGCACTCGGGATGCTTGAGTTTTCCAGCCAGCCAATGAGTAGACCTCCAAGAATTTTCTAAATTAAAATAGTTGGAGGTGCACTGCAGCTCCAAAGTCGTTACTATGGTTAAGCTCAGCCTTGCTTCCTCTTCAGTGAGCCAGTCCTTTATCCCTCATCATGAGTCACTACCTTAACCGTGTCTCCTCTGAGATACTTCCGCGCTCGAGAAGGAACAAGGATCCCGGTCAGAAACACAGGATAATTAATTTTTTTTCCCCCTTCCTCTCTTTGTCCGGTGTCCATTTAAGTGGAACTGGCGAGAGGACAAGTTCTCTTAAACTGGCTTCTTTCTGGTGACTTGACGTACAGCCAGCCTCAAATCCATTCCCCTAACTTCACCTTTGGCAATACCTAGTTGTAGATTAAACCAGACACAGAATTCGCATCGGAACCCGTGTATTCTCCTTGTGGAAGTACGGTGGTGGGGTTTCAAAACTGACATATTTCGATGCTGCTTTTGGTGGGCCGTAGAGTCCAGGTTGCTGATCGTCCAGAGACCGTCTTCCTTCTGAGCGGAAACGATCCGGCGGTTCATCTTTACAAAGAGGTGAGACCTCCAGTTAGACTTGGCTTTTCTGGGCATTCTAGCCCCCTCTCCTCTATGGTGCCTCTGCGGTTCTCCTTTTAGGTCCTTCGTGGTTGGTTTGGTTTTTAAATCCCAGCGTTCTACTGCAAAGGGCCCCTTTCTCCTTTTTCTTTCTTGGGTTCCATCATATCTCAAGTATTTCCCACCCACCCACCCCCCAATCACTGTGTAGTGAGGTTAAGCCGTTGCTGTCTTAAAATTAAGAAAAGAAAAAAGAAAACCCAACAGTTTTTAACACCTTTTCTGGTGCGAGCTGAGCTAGGAGAGGACAACTGGCAAAGCTTTGAGTCATCACGATTAGACATTTCCGATGCAGCCTTCGCAACAGACAGGTCATCCGGCAACTTCAGTAGTAGTCCTCGGCCAAGGGTGGGATTCGAATTCTTTTTTACGGCCAGTTCTGTGGGCGTGGCTTGACGGGCGTGGCCTGGCTTGGTGGGCGTGGCAGGGGAAGGGGACTGCAAAATCCCCCTTCCCTCGCCAACCCACTAACCTGCTTTCCAGCTCCGTTCTCCCACGGGAGGGAAATCTTGGGCCTCATTTGTGTTGTAAGTCAAGGACCACCCGTGTTTCTAATAGAGATGAACTGGTGGGGGGCGGGGAACCCCAGGATATGCAGAAAATAGGGAATCTCTTTCTCCTTCTGTTCTACGGGAGCAATTGGATAGGAGCCGCCCCCACCCTGGAAATCCCAAGGCCTGTAGGCAGAATTTGGGGGGGGGGGACTCAATGGGGGTCGTAAGACGAGGACCTTCCTCTACCTCCTTTTATTGATGTTGCAGAATGAAGAGCTCCATCAATTTGAGGAGCAGCCGGTTGAGAATCTCTTTCCAGAGCTTAAGGAACTACCCAGCAAGTAGGCAAACCTGGTTTGTTATCAAGGCTTGAGGTCGGGGGTGGGGGGTGGGGCAGAATGAAAAGAGGCAAACAATGATGGCTCAGTGATCTGCTTAACCCATAATGTGGCTGATGGGGTTTAGTTTGACGTCTTGTGCGAAACCAAGAATTGTGGTTTGCTAATTAAACCAGAGGTTAGTGTGTTGGGTGTGGTAGGGACTTAACACAGGTAAACTTCAGCTTATGACTATAATGGAGCCTTCATCCTAACCCTTCCTTCCTTCCTTTTCTCTTTTTCCTTCCTTGTTTCCTTCCTTCCTTCCCTCCTTCTCCTTCCCATTTTCCTTCCTTCCTTCCTTCTGTCCTTCCCTCCTTCCTTTCTTCCTTCCCTTCCCTCCCTCCCCTCCCCTTTCCTTCCTCCCCTCACCCCTTCTCTCCCTCCTGCCTTTGTTCCTCCCTTTCCTTTCCTTCCTTCCTTCCCTCCCTCCTCCCTCCCTCCCTCCTGTCTTTCCCTCCCTCCCTCCCTCTCTTCTCTCCTTCCTTTCTTCCGTCCCTTCTTCCTTCCTTCCTCTCTCTCTTCCTTCCCTCCCCTCCCCTCCCCTTCCCTCCCTCCTCCCTCCCTCCCTTCTGCTTTCCCTCCCTCTCTCTCTTTCTCTCCTTCCTTTCTTCCCTCCCTTCTCTCCTCCCTCCCTCCCTCCCTTCCTCTCTCTTTTCCTCCCCCTCTCACTTCCTTCCCTCCCCTCCCCTTTCCTTCCTTCCCTCCCTCCTGCCTCCCTCCCTCCCTTCTGCTTTCCCTCCCTCCCTCTCTTTCTCTCCTTCCTTTCTTCCCTCCCTTCTCTCCTCCCTCCCTCCCTCCCTCCCTCCCTCCCTCTCTCTCTTCCTTCCCTCTCTCTCTTCCTTCCCTCCCTTCTTTTCAGCATCCTCTGGCTCGATGTCTACAACATTCCCCATTCGGGGCAGCGGATCACAGCTTTCGGCTGCCAGAGCGGATACATCCGGGTTGCTCAGGTTGAACCAGCCAAGCGAGGTAAGGTCCCACCTCCACCCGCTTCCCCGGGGGGTGGGGGTAGGGGGCTTAACTCGGGCTCTTCCTCAAAGTTTGGACTGCAGCCTGGTAAGTGAAGGGCGCTTGGGTTGATTGATTGATTGATTGATTGGCGCCCCTTCTCTTCTTCTGGACTCAAGTGGTGCTGCAGAGTTGGAGCATCCAACAAGACAGTCCCATCTCCAAGGTCTTGGTCTTTGCTCTCCCAAGCACCAGCCAGTCGGACGACCCACCCGGGGTTGCGTCTACGAAAGGTGAGATCCAAAGAGAAGGGGAGATGAGGATTGGGAAGGAGAGCCTCCCCTTTGGTGGCCCAGAAGAACCATGTATATCAGAGGTCTCCAAACTTGGCCACTTTGAGACTGGTGGGCTTCAACTCCCAGAATTCTCCAGCCAGCTATGAATTCTGGGAGTTGAAGTCCACCAGTCTTAAAGGGGCCACGTTTGGAGACCCCTGATCTAGCAGCTTCTTCACAGAATTGGGATTTCTGTAGGATTTAGGGCAAGAGTCTTCCAACATGGCAAGTTTAAGATTTGTGCACTTTTTACTCCCAGAATTCCTCAGCTGACGTGAGAAGAGGAATTCTGGGAGTTCAAGTCCACAAGCCTTAAACGTGCCAGGTTTGGGGACCCCTTAACTCTTATCTTTCTCAACCAACTTGAAGAGGGGTGGACTCCAACTCCCAGAATTTCTGGGATTGAAGTCCACCCCTCTTCAAGTTGCCAAAGATGGATTCACTCAACCCAACTTCTCTGCTCTCTGGTCCTTCGCATCTCACCCAGGCACCACCAGTCCCGACCCTCAAAGCTACAGCGTCCTCGTAACCAGCATGCTCGAACTCTCGGTGGTCTACAGGTGAGTAAAGTACCTGGAACGGGAAATCTATCCCCTGCCCACCTGGCTTCTGCTTGCTTGAGAACTCGTTTTTCCCCCTTTCCCTTCTAGGAATGTGCTGCACAGTGGTCTGGAGGACCAGTTGGTCTTGCCCCTGAGTAACCAGTACGACAGCGTACTCTGTGCCCTGGTGACCGATGTGGACTTCGATAGCGAGCCGGAGATCCTGCTGGGCACCTATGGGCAGGTGAGAGGTTGGTCATTCCTGTCCTCACGGCAAAGGTGTGGCTGTCTGTTGTTGTTGTTTTTTCAATAAAATTACGATTAAAGGCATTTACCTAGATCATTGGAAGGGTTTTTTTTGGTGGGGGTAAAAGTATAAATGGAGTTTGTTGAGGTATTAAGATTTAAGAGCTGATCAGCAGCAGTAACAGCGCACGCGTGCACGTGCAAAACGTAATTGCCAAACCAGTAGTAATGCCGGTTGAATCCCACCCCTGGTTGAGAGGATCAGATGACAGCATCTGAAAATGTACCTTTGAGTTTAGTTTAGGGTTTCGTCCTTGCACCTCGTACAACGGAATCAAACACCATCTTCAGTGCACATCACAACCCTGAAAATGAACACAAACACACATCCTTCATACTCCACACATTGAATTGAAAAACCCCAACACCACACCAACAACTGCACCATACAGTAGAATTCAAAAGAGCTCCTGCCCTGGGATAGAAGCTGTTTTTCAGTCTGTTTGTCCTTGTTTTTATTATTGTCCTGTACCGTTTGCCAGATGGTAATAGTTCAAAAAAAAAAGGGTGCTCAGGATGAGATGGACGTTTTAGGATGTTTTGAACTTTCTTAAGGCAGCGGGAGCTATAAAGCTCTTCCAAAGAGGGGAGAGGGCAACCCATGATCTTCTGGGCAACGACGTTCACCCTCTGGAGTGCATTCCTATCTGCCCCTGTGCAATTGGCAAAGCCTACACAGGTGTGTAGTAAGTTAAGATACTCTCTATGGTGCAGCGGTAGAAGGTCACCAGCAATTTTTCATCCGTCTGTTGTTTTTTGAGAAGTCTCAGGTAGTCTAATCTCTGCTGGGCCCTTTTGACCAGGGCTGCAATGTGAGCCCCCCAGGTCAGGTCCTTTTTTAGGGTAACACCCAGAAACTTAAAACTGGCCACTTGCTCCCCTCGGTCTCCACTGATAAGCAAGGGCTGGAGGTCTGATCCTCTATATAGTCCACTATAAGCTCCTTCGTCTTATTGATGTTGAGGACCAAGTTATTGTCTCCACACTACAAAAGCAACCAGTCCACCTCATCTTGATAGGCAGACTCATCCCTCCCCCACGGAGATGAGTCCCACCACTTTCCGCTTCCACAACCATGAGGGGTAGAAGCTTAGTTTTTAAGAATACTGAGTTCTAAAGATAATACCTTGATTTTATTTTTCCTGTCCTGCTTAGCAGTATTATTATGCAACCTCCTTGGTCTTTTAGGAGCTTTTATGCTACAAATACCGGGCTGAAAACACGCGTGTCGCCACCACAGCGAGGCACCATTGTTCCCAGAAGCCTCCTGGGGATTTCCACCTTGTCTGGCAACGCACTTTCCCCAGCCCTTTGTTATCCATGGACTACGTAGACCTGACCTGCGATGGACTCTGCGAACTGGCCGTGGTGTGTCTGAAGGGGTTGCACATACTCCAGGTTTGTGTGCCAGGAGAAGAAGGGGTAGAGAAGACACCTTCAGCGCAAAGCCCACTCAGGAGGCAGAAGCAACATTTGCCAGAATGTTCCTTTTCAATTTGCAATTGAATTACAACTCGATTTACAATTTACACTTGCAAATTGGTTATCCTGCGAAACCTCTAGCCGTTTTTTCGTTTCCTTTAACTACCTTTGAAGCTCCAGTCGGTGCACAATGCAGCGGCCCGCATGGTTGTGTGCAGACCTTGGTGTAAGCACATCTATCCACCTGTCCTGAGGGAGCTGCATCCATTGCCGATTTGCTTCCAGGTGCAATTCAAGATGTGCTGGTTATCACCTTTAAAGCCCTCCGTGGCTTGGGACCAGGTTGTCTGAGGGACCGTCTCTTGCCCATCACATCTACCCGACCCACTAGAGAAGGGAGGCAAGGAATGTTGCAGGTCCCATCCCCTAAGGAGATACATCTGGTGGGACCCCAAAAGACCCACCTTCTCCGTGGTGGCTTCCTCTCTCTGGAACACCATCCCCCTAGAGATCAGAATTACCTGCACTCTAACACTCTTCTGGAAGGTGCTGAAGACCTGGTTCTGCCAGCGGGCCTGGGGAACCCAGAGTGGGCTGGAGCTCATTAAATGGCTCGTGTGAGGTGCTGTCACCAGGGTGTGTGGGGGGCTATTATTTCTTTTTCTTTTTTATCTACCTCTGTTTCCCAGAAAATAAGACCCTGTCTTATATATATTTTTTGCCACCAAAAAAGGCACCAGGTCTTATTTTGGGGGGAAGACATCCACTGACTAACCTCACTTGCATGCGTCACCCCGCCGGCCTCCTTTTCGCTGTCAGCGGCCTTCAGGAACTACTACTTCTGCGGCCGGCAAGGCTTTCCTGAAGGCCTCTGCAGCCAATAACAGAGCTTTGGATCGATCCAGAGCTTTCTTATCAGCTCCAGAGGCCTTCAGGAAAGTCTTGCTGGCTGCAGAAGAAATGGGCTGGCAAGACAGGTGTAGGGGTGTGCAAGGCCTGGCTACACCTGTCCAAAGGTAAGTAGTAGGGCAGCTCCACCTCCCCATCCCTACCCTAGCTTAATTTTTACCCATCCACTCTGGAGTGGGTGGGATCTTAATTAGGGCTTATTTTGGGGCGTAGGGCTTATATTGGGCGCACGTGTAAAAATCAAGCTAGGACTTACTTTCAGGGTAGGTTGTATTTTCGGGAAAACACTGGTACGATGTTTTCATATCCCTGTAAGCCGCCTTGAGTCGCCATGTGCGAATAGGCAGTATAAATTGTCTTAATAAATAAATATACAAACCACCAAACCAACCGATTTTTGCCCCTCCATGCAGCACAGCCTGACGGACGTCGTCCAGTGCCTTCTAGAGCGGCTTCGGGTGGAAGCGACAAACCGGGCGTCCCAACCGAACGCTTCCGTGCAGGAGCAAGATTCCAGAGTTGGGGATACGGATGGCCGAGGACCAAGAACCTGAGGTCCTGGCTGTGCCTTTCCCCCTTTCCTGTGTTCTTTTCATCCGCTACGAAATGAGGAAGGGACTCGGGAGCAGAGCCACGTCCAAAGGATTCTTCCAGCCTTCTGCAGGGTCCCGGCAAGAGCGTGGGAATTTAATTTAGTCGGCTGTGAAGGGTAGTGAGAAGACTGATCCGTTCCTGTGACGCTTTCACTGGCATAACTGCAGCTGCCTCAAACCCGGGAAGTGCTCCGTGCCCAGCACAGTTCAGTAATTTGTTTGTCTCTGGGCCTCCAAGCGGGGGCGCTACTCCGAACGACCATAGAAAATAAATATTTGTACAGATAGTCCTTTGACTTACAATAGTCCGTTTGAAGTTACAACGGCAGCCCTGGGGGGGGGGGGAAGTGACCATTGTGACCATTTTTCACACTTACGACCTGTTGCAACGGTCCCCGGGGGTCACGTGACCAACATTTGGCAACCGCTTCACCTTTATGACCGTCACCTGATCCCCTTTTGCAACCAGTTGACAGGCAAAGTCAATGGCGGGAAGCCAAGATTCATTTAACAGCCGCGTCGCTAACTTTTCACGGCTTTCGTGAGTCCCTTTTCACAACGAAATGGCACGAAAAACAGGGCGGAAGACACCGAGCCTTGTAAATCTTGGGCTCGAGGGTGGTCGTAAGTGGCGGGCTAGGTGTACGAGTAGTGGGGTCTGCTCGCTGTCGGGATAGATAAACTGAAACGGCGAGACTGGTAACTGCTGCCAAGTTACTCGAACTCGGCGTCCTCTCTGTCCACCTGGCCGTTCCCCAGAGCTTCTTGAGAGTAAGGGCCTCTCCGCCTTACAACGGAACGGAAGAAAAGTATCCGAGGGAGACAGCCAGAGGCAAGGAAGCACCTCACTCCAGGCCTTTGAATGGCCCAAGTCCCCCCCTTTTTTGTGCTGTCGTCCGAACCCTAAAGATATTTGCCCCATAGAATCTCTCCTTTCTGATCCCCCTTCCTTACTCCTGGTCTTTCTGTCCCTCATTTGTCCCCCTCCTAAGCCGATGGAACGGGGACGCGATGGCTCAGGGGCTAAGACGCTGAGCTTGTCAATCAGAAAGGCCGGCAGTTGGGCGGTTCGAACCCCCAGCGCCGCCTAACGGAGCGAGCTCCCGTTCCTTGTCCCAGCAGCTTCTGCCCAACCTAGCAGTTCGAAAGCATGTTAAAAAAAAAAAAAGGCAAGTAGAAAAACAGGGACCCCTTTGGTGGGAAGGGAACAGCGTTCCGTGAGCCGTCGGCGTTTAGTCCTGCCAGCCACGTGACCACGGAGACGTCTTCGGACAGCGCTGGCTCTTCGACTTTGTCACGGAGATGAGTACCGCCCCCTAGAGCCAGAAATGACTAGTACACTTGTGCAAGGGGAATCTTTATGTGTGTGTGTGTGTGTGTCTGGGTGTCCTTTTCTCTTCCTTTTCCTCCTCTTCCTCCCTCCTCCTCTTCCTCCCTCCTCCTTTTCCTCCTCCCTCCTCTTCCTCTGCATGGCGACAGAGCTGTCTGTGTTCCAGATTTGGCTAGCAGATGAGAACAGATGGCTTGGGAGAAAGAGATGAAGTTTGCAGCATTGTAATTAGGAAGGGGTTTTTGTGTGTGTGTGTGGTATCTTAGCCTGCTGCGAAGAGGGTGGGGTGACCAGAGCCCTGCCCTTGTCAGGCCAGGAAGCCCCTCCCCACCCCCCCTCCAGGGTCTCCTTGGCACACCACCTGCATTTTGTCTTCACCTGTGGGAAGCGTGGGCCATTCAGGCGCCTCGGCTTCTGGCGAGGGGAAATCACCCCACGTCTGGGAAGGAGGCGGAGCCAGAGTTCCTTGCATTGCATAAGTCACACAACAGCGTATCTCCTGGGGGACGGAGGTGTGTGTGTGTGTGTGTGCGTGTGTGTGTGTATTCGTGCATGTGCGCCTCAGGCTGTTGACATCCAGGAATCCAATTTTGCAGAGGGCTCGAAACCTGTATTGTGACCAGCTTCTTAAAAGCTGCAGGAAGCGAGGACTTGGGATTGCAAACCTTTGCCGAAAAGGAGGAAATCTAGATCTTTCTTAGGATCCCTCGAAGGAGCCCAGGCTTTGATTGATCCTGGTGAGGAGATTAAGGGGATCCGTGATGGGGTTGAACAGCTGCTCTGCAGAAAAACGGAGCAGAATTAAACCGTTGCTTTTTGGAAAGCAGACGGACAGCCAAGAACGGAGATATTGCAGGTCGACGATAAATAAAGATAAATAAAGATAAATAGATAAATAAATGGGGGAGAAAGAAGCATTGGAGGTGTCGAGGGAGGGGAATTGCCTGCCTGGAGAAGCGATGGATTCTCCTTCCGTTTGAGACCTTTCATCACAAGCAGGGAAATCACACTTAATGACCATTCGAACTTACGACGAACCTTTCCCCCCTTCAATCCCCCCAAAAGAGACGACCCTGTTTTGAAATTCTACACACAAATTCTGCTCGCACCCCTGACAGACACACCGCATTTTAGGCACCTGGCAACCAACTTGATTGACAGCAATTTGCAGCAACCAGCAGACCCATGACAGCCATTTTGGACTCCCCCAGTTTCCGGGTATCCTGCATTTGTTTAACAAACCCCACATTGGCGTAACCCCTGCCAAAGCCCTAACATTGGGCGTGGTCATGTGATCCATTTAATGACACCCGTGGCATACAATGGTCATTCTGGGCTCGATCAGAGGCGTAAGTTGAAAATGACCTGTGTTGGGGAATGATACGTTTTGCCTCCCAAGAGAGTGTAGTTTGTCTCACTTCCAAGAGAGTTACAGGTTCTCTCTTCTCCAGCCTTTTGCCCAACATTCTCCGTGTTGCGGGCCTCCAAATGTGTGGGACCAACCCCCAGAATTTCCAGCCCTTCTGGGATTTGAGACTTGTCTAAGAAGGAAAATGTCCAATGTTCCCATTTTTGAGATTTGGAAAGGGAATGTTGTGATTTGCCGGCAGCCTGTACAGACGGCAGCAGAATCGGACAGTGGGGAAGAACGGGGACCAGTCTGGGAATTTGGGGAGGACTCGGATGAGGGTCCTGCGTCCGATGCAGAGATGGGGCCAGGACCATCTGGGAGTGGGGTGCTCCCTCCGGAGTCTGGCAGCAGCGAGGAAGAGGAACAAGGGGAGCCTGTTCCCAGTGTGTGTGTGTGCGTAGAGCTGCTAGAAGGCAAGAGCAGCTGAAACAGAAAGGGCAACTCAGGAGTAACGTTTGGAGGCGATTGCCCCTCCCATAAGGTATAAAGGACAGACAAAGGTGAAGAAACCTTTGCAGGAAGCAAGGTTGTTCGCTCTGTTCAGATTAAACCTTGAAGCTCTGTGTGGACTTTGTACTTCGGTTGGTTTTTTATAATTCATTTGCCACTCTACTTGTTGGCAACCATTCAAAGGAGATAAAGGTGGGTGCTTATCTCGAGGGACTGTTTGGGACTCATTACGGGCTGGGAATGAACATAATTCCCAGCGTTGAAATAAAACAAGAGTTGTTTTAACTAAGCGTGCGCTTAATTACGGTCTCGGGAAGCCTTGGTCAGAACAGGGAGATCGCTTTTTCCTCAGCTCAACCCACCTCACAGGGCTGTCGTGGGGAGAATAGGAGGAAGAAGGAGTACAGGCAGTCCTTGATTTACAACAATTCATTTAGTGACCGAAGGGCACCAAAAAAAAAGCAACAGATGATTGTTTTTCGCACTTATGACCGTTGCAGTATCCCCGTGGTCGCGTAATCAAAAGTCCAGGAGCTTGGATTCTTATTTATGACGGTTGTGGGCTCGTGTGATCCCGTTTTGTGACCTGACAAGCAAAGTCAATGAGGAAGAAACCAGATTTTCTGGTTAACAGCCTCATTACTAACTTAGCAGCTGCGGTGATTCACTTCACAACAGTTGCAAAAAAGGCCGTACAATGGGGGGAAAACTCATTTAACAAATGTCTCACTTAACAACTAAACACTTGGGCTGAATTAAGTCAAGGATGACCTGTATTAATAATGTCCGCTGCCTCAAGTCACCTATAAAGTAATAAAAGGCAGGATAAAAATCGAATACATAATTTCTACTGGGAAAGAAGTGCACCAGGACTGCCGGGTTAGGATTTGGATTCGAGTCCTGCATCCTGTTAGGCCAAAAGGCTAAACCTTTCAGCTTTCAGGGGTGGCTTTTTTCCTGAACGGACTTGGGAAGGATGGAAGTAGAAATATAAAATCGGCCAATTTGAAAGCAAGAAATAAAATTGGAGCCTCTGGAATTGTGGAGCTGTCCGACTCTCCGTGGTGCTGAAATGGCTCTTCCGGGAGGAAAACAACCGGCAGAGTTATTAACCCTTTATGTCCCACCTCTCCTGCCAAGGCATTCCAGACACTGCTTATCCTATCCGAGGACCCCTGATAGATTCAGCCTCTGGAGATGATGGGACTTGTAGTTCCCCCACCTTTTGCTGGGCGACTTTGTGTTCCCGCTTCTATTTTGTCGAATACCTGGCATTGGGGTGCGCTGGCTCCCTCCACAGACCCTCCCGGGGGTCCCAGTCCCAGCTGACCAGCCCTCTCCTCTTCTTCCTCCTCCCCTCTTCCTCCTCTTCCCTCCTTCATCTTTCTCCTCCTCCTTCCTCTTCCTCCTCTTCCCTCCTCCTCCTCCCTCCTCCCCTATTCCTCTTCCTCCTCATCCTTCCTCCTCCCCTCCTTCCTCTTCCTCCTCTTCCCTCCTCCACCTCCCTCCTCCTTCCTCCCCTATTCCTCTTCCTCCTCCTCCTTCCTCCTCCCTCCTCCTTCTTTCTCTTCTTCCCTCCTCCTCCTCCCTCCTCCCCTATTCCTCTTCTTCCTCCTCCCTCCTCTTCCTCCTCCTCCTCCCCTCCCACTTCCTCTTCCTCCTCCCCTCTTCCTCCTCCTCCTCCCCGCCTCCCTCCAGCCCTCGCTGCCTCCCCCAGAGGCGGGCTCTCTCGGCTGCGAGCGAGGCACGCGGGCGGGCGGGCTGGCTGGCTGGCTGGGGCCGCTTCTCTGCCAGCAGCCGCTCTCCCGGGGCTCCTATCTCGGGGGGTTCCCCCCTCCCGCCTTGCCGGCCGCCCCACTTGAGCCACCCGCCCGCATGGCCGAGAAGTGACCCGGCTCGGCTCAGCCATCGGGGTGGAGGCAAGGGGCTTGGAAGGTAAGTGGCGGTCGCCGCGGTTGGCGGGGCTCGATCCTGTTTTCCCCGGGGCTGGGCTTTAAGCTCAGCTCCAGCCCAGCCCTTTCGCCGGCTGCCCAGCCTAGCCCTCCGCAAGCCCTGTTGGGGTTCCGCTCGGACCCCACCTCTCCAGCCCT